ATTATCATTTTATCATGCCATACCTTCGCCTTCTTCTTGTAGATGGCGGCATTCTCATATGACTCTAATCGAAGCTCCTCTAGTTCTTGGAGTTGCCGCCTCCTTTGTTCTCCCGCTTTTTCCATGTCGAGATTGAATGTTTTTACCGCCCAATAAGACTTGTGTTCTAGTTCGACCGGAAGGTGACAAAAGTTACCGAACACGAGTCTATAGGGTGACATTCCAATTGGGGTCTTAAAAGTGGTTCTGTATGCCCATAAGGCATCATCCATGCGTAGACTCCGATCCTTACGGTTTGGATTTACTGTCTTTTGAAGTATAGACTTCAGCTCTCTGTTTGATACCTCGGCTTGACTGTTTGTCTGTGGGTGGTAGGCGGTGGAGTGTTTATGAGTGACGCCATATTTCTTCAACAAGGCACTCACAGTTTTGTTGTAGAAGTGAGTGCCTCTATCGCTTATTAAAATGCGTGGAACTCCAAACCTTGAGAAGATGCGGGTTTTGAGGAATTCCGTCACCACTTTGGCTTCATCGGTCTTTGTGGCTTTTGCTTCAACCCATTTGGACACGTAGTCTACCGCCAAGAGAATATATAGATTTCCATGGGAATGAGGAAAAGGTCCCATGAAATCTATTCCCCACACATCAAAGATCTCCACGTAGAGCATAGGAACTTGCGGCATCTCATGTTTTCGAGAGATGTTGCCCATGCGTTGACAATTATCACAAGATTAACAATAGAAATGGGCATCTCGAAATAAGCTTGGACACCAAAAATCGCATTCAAGTACCTTCATAGATGTTCGTTTCCCTCCAAAGTGGCCACCATATGCATGTGAGTGACAAAAAGCAAGAATGGATGCTATTTCCGTTTCGGGAATGCACCTTCGAATGACTTGATCTTTGCAATGTTTCCATAAGTATGGTTCATCCCATACGTATTGTTTTGCATAATGTTGGAGCTTCTCTCTTTGAGCTTTAGATAAGCTTGGTGGAAACCTGTTTAGAATAAGGAAATTAACAATATGAGCGTACCAAGGGCGAATTTCCTTAAGAGAGAAGAGGGTCTCATCGGGAAATTCCCCTCAGATATCGTCTTTTATACGATTATTTCCTTCATCAAGGACTAAACGGCTCAAGTGATCGGCCACCAAGTTCTCCATGCCTTTCTTGTCCTTGATCTCAACATCAAACTCGCTCAAGAGTAGTATCCATCGAATCAACCACGGTTTGGCCTCCTTCTTTGTCATCAAGAACCTAATAGCTGCATGATCGGTGTAAATGATCACCTTGGTACCAAGTAAATATGACCTGAATTTTTCAAGTGCATAAACGACGACCAACATTTCTTTCTCGGTGGTGGCGTAGTTGCGTTGGGCATCATTGAGGGTGGTGGATGCATAATAGATCACATGAGATGCTCTTCCCACATTTTGGCCCAAAACGGCCCCGACCGCATAGTCACTAGCATCACACATGAACCCAATCCGGAGCTTGGATGATAGGTGCGGTTACTAGCTTTTCCTTCAAAGTATTGAAGGCCTTCTTGTAGTCCTCGGAAAACATGAACTCCACCTCCTTTTGCAAAAGTGTGCATAAAGGAGATGCAATCTTTGAGAAATCTTTGATAAACCTCCGATAGAAACCTGCATGTCCAAGAAATGATCGTATCTCCCTAACGGTAGTAGGATAAGGTAGTGATTGGATGACTTCCACTTTTGCTTTGTCCACCTCGATCCCTTTGGACGAGATCACATGGCCTAGGACAATTCCTTCCTCCACCATAAAATGATATTTTTCAGAGTTTAGAACAAGATTTGATTCTAAACAACTTTTCAAAACAAGAGATAGATAGTGCAGGCATGAATCAAATGAGTCTCCATGGATTGTAAAATCATCCATAAAGACTTCCATAAATAGCTCAACATATTCAGAGAATATGCTCATCATGCATCTTTGGAATGTGGCTGGGGCATTACATAGTCCAAATGGCATGCGTTGGTATGCAAATGTGCAAATCTTCAGGGGCTATAGGCACTTGAAAGTACCCAGAGTAGCCATCAAGAAAACAGTAGAATTTATGCCACGCAAGTCTCTCAATCATTTGATCAATGAAGGGTAAAGGAAAGAAATCTTTTCTAGTTACCGCATTGAGTCTACGGTAGTCTATACATACCCTCCATCCGTTTTGAATTCGGGTGGGAATAACTTCCCCATGTTTGTTCTCCACCACCGTGACTCTGGTCTTCTTCGGAACTACTTGGGTTGGACTAACCCACTTGCTATCGGAAATGGGGAAGATTATCCCCATTTGGAGTAGCTTGATCTCCTCCTTTTTGACCACCTCCATCATAGGTGGGTTGATAACCGCTTACGCGGCGTTGTAGTAAAACGGAGTCTAACCTTTCGGTTTTTCCCCGAGTATCGTGTCTCTTGAGGAATGGCGGAAGAGTTTCTTAATTTTAAGTCCAGTCACAGGTTATCGCAAATTATTGGAAGCTTTCCAAACTAAAACTTTTGATTGATTTTCTAAACTACTTTTTGAAAAAGAAAGTAAATTAAATTATGCAAATACTAATGATGGCTCAAAATAAACTAAATGAAAAATAAAATACTAAACTCTAAATGGATTGATCAAAGAAGGGCAATGAATTGAATAATTAGAAATGGATATATTCTTGGACCTAGTAATTAGGGGAATTAAAACTAAATTTGGACTAATAATTTCTTTCTCATAGACAAGAATAGAAATTACTTTCATTAATTTATCCTATTTCTAGGTTTCATTAATGCATTCAAAAATGGTTGGCTTGAAATAAATTCTAATCTCATAGACAAGACATAAATAATTCTCCAATATTTTAATTAATAAAAATAGCAAAATTCATTAACTAATTAAACTCATTATTTAAGCAATTTGAATTTATTTCTCATAGACAAGATGTAAATCCCTTTCATTAAAATATCCTATTTCTAGGCCTTATTAATGTGCTTGAATAAAGTTGGCTCAAATTATTTTCTAATCTCATAGACAAGTTAGAAATAATTTTCCAAAATTTAATTAATGAAAATGGCTAACTTTTATTAATTACTAATTCATCAATTTGAATAACTATCCCAACTAATTAATTTTAACCCCTAATTTTCGGCTAACAAGTCAATCCATATTACTTTACTCAATTCATGCCCAAGAGTAAATTAACTATAACAACTCATTACTAATTTTAACATTTTACACATAAAATAAGACATGATCATAAATAATAACAACAAAAGAAAATATTAAAGTGAATACTCCCAACATCTAAACTTTCTTTTCTTTCACAAATAAGCATTATTTATACTAGGAATTGATGTTATCTGAGTACGAGATTAATATAACAACAAGAACTAATTTTCTTGAATTAAAATGGAAAACACGAAATTCTTAAAATTAATTCAGAGAATTTTATACAAATATTTGGGAAATAGAAACAATATATTCAGAATCTACACGACGAGAGGATGAAAATACATATAAAGAACTTACAAATTGGAGCTAAAATGAGAAAGATATGAAAGATTGAAGTTGAAGGTACAACAATGGTGGAAATCCGAGCTTCGAGAAGGAAGAAGAAGGCCATTTTGAACTGATTTCGGGCTAAGAATGGTGTGTTTGAGTTCAGCAAAAATCGGGCTATTTATAAGAGCAAAAATACCGTAGGCGGCCAACCAGGCGGCCGCCTGCCACCTTGCTCCGGCCGCCTTCCGTCCATCACCGGCAGTCGAACGTGCCGCACGTCACTTCGCCGCAGGCGGCCACGGAAGGCGGCCGCCTGCCGTTTCTGTCTGGCCGCCTGCTGTCTTTTCGCACCGACGGTCGTTGGCTTTGTCGTCTTTTCCCGTAGGCGGCCGCGAAGGCCTCCATTTTTGGCCGCCTATTTGGCCGCCTTCGGTCGAAGCCTTCGGTCTTCTTCCCGCTTCGAGTCAAAGCCTAATTTTTTATTTTTCCGTAGGCGGCCGCGAAGGCCTCCATTTTTTGCCGCCTATTTGGCCGCCAATGAGGTTGTTTGACCGTCTTGTTCTGTATTTTGTGGTCTTCAACTTTCCCTTCTGGACCACTTTGAAATTTCTCTTTCTTTCTTTCAGGATGATATCATTTTTCACTCAAATTAACTCATTGTGTGCTTAATTGACCCGAAATTTCGTCAAAAGATATCATGAACGTGGTTTTTACCTAATTTCACGAAACTTGAACCAAAATATATAAAACATGCCTTGTTTTTCTATTTTTCAATCCAAAATCGCTTAACTTTGATAAGAAAAATAAGTACAAAAATGGACCTATCAATCTCCTCACACTTAAACGTTGCTTGTCCTCAAGCGATAAATCAGTTGCAAACACACTAAAAAGGTAAAACCTTATTGTATTACAATCGAGTTGCTATTAAAGAAATAGAAACAAAAACCTCTTATTTTATTTTCAATTTTTAAACATTTTAGAAAAATCACCCAAAATACAAGAATTTAAAATTATTATTAAATTCTATTGATTATGTTAAACCACCAATGAATACCTTATCCCAAGGTTTTCATTATTCTAATTTGGACATTTATCTTATTCACAAATTATGTTTTTTTTGCCTCTTGTCCACTCTTGTTGGCGGTGTTATCCCATGGTAGATGCATATTTAATTCTCACAGACTATGATTAACGAATGAAACAGAGCCCCTTTTCGGAGATGAAATTGTCCTATAACAATGAGTTTTGAAGAGATTTATTAATACTAGTATTTTTTTATGAATAAAATGAATGTCCTATTAAAACAAAATTAGCCCTTTACATTCGCAACCAAAACCCATAACAATTTCAAGTTTTCTAAAAATAATAATAAAAGTAAATTCTTATAATAAAGGTGATCCTCTAAGCTATTATGTGATTGATAACAATTGAGAGGTGATTGTTTCATATCAAAAATAGTAAAAAGATTGATCTAAAACACAACCTCCTCACACTTGAGCTTTAATCGTTTGTTGGGTGGTGTTCATTGGCTGGAATTTACTTCGGCTGGTTTTGATTTGGGTTTACAAGCACGAACGATAGCCATAACAGCAGTTGGGAGAGCCTTATCGCGCAACTAGTGTTCATGAAGTTTTTATGAGATTTCGTTGGATTCAGTGAAAAATTGTTTGTAATTGATTCTTATTACTGATTTTCGACCTACGATTGATTGAATTATCATATCAATTGCGGATTTCATTTCTGTACGGCGAGGGTTTGTTTGTCACGACTGAAATTTGGGGAAACAGGGTCTGCGTAAGTAGCTGTGGTTTCTGCTATTTGCGGTTTTGGGAAACAGAGACTGTGTAGGGGTTTGAAAGCTACGCCCAGGCCGGGGATTTCTGCTCGCAGGTGTCTGAGAGCGCCCAGGCTCGTTTGGATTTCAGTTCGCAGGTTCTGCTGCGTACAGGCCTCAACGAACCGAACGCAGGCGTCTTCTGCAATTTGTGTCTGTTTGGATTTGTGTCGCAGTCTCTGCTACGCACTCTGGTCTGTAAACTGAGGGAGCTGCTGTGGACTGATTTTTCGTGTGCTCTGCAAATTGTTTCCAGTACAGGGGCTGTGAACAGGTTCAATGGCACGGAAGAAACAGGTTAGCGTGGATACCCCTTCCAGAATGACCAGGGCTACTGCAGCAGTTGATTTCAAAGTGTTGGAAGGGTTGGATGAAAATTTTCCCATCCTAAATTCTGGGATAAATGGGACAAAGCAGTCACCTATGAAGGGAGTCAATGACAAAGCAGCAGCTATTGAACTTCCTGGTGCTGGGCAGACTACTGGGACTGTCCCAAACGCTGAGGAAAATGGTGTTGGGCAACATGTCCTAACTTTGGCAGTAACTAATGCCACTAAAACATGGAACTCATTGTTTAAGGAACCAATGAAGTTATGGAATGATGAGGCTATGAGTGAGGTGACATCTATGGTTGGGATCCCTATTACTACAGACAAGATCACTCAAGAGAGGACTAATAATGACTATGCTAGAGTGCTCATTGAGGTTGATGTTTCAAAGCCGCCACCGCTATCTTTTCCATCCGACTACCTTCACGAAAGGTATTCAAACAAAATGTGGTTTATGAGACTTTTCCTAAGTTTTGCTTTCATTGCAAACAATATGGGCACAACCCATTTCTTTGTAAAATTCTAGCTAAAGGAGGTGATGGGGTAATAAACAAGGACAAATTTGTTGATGAAAGTCATAGCAAAGTGGGAAACATAGGGAAAGATAAGGGAGCTGCAGACTGTGATTTTCTGAGGGCTGTCTCACCAGATATGACTGTCCAGGGGGGTAACCCGACCGGGCTTACCCCAAACCCGACCGGGTCTCGCAAACAAACTACCCAGGGGGCTGGAAAGGCTGCGGAAGCTGCTGCCGCTGATATTCTACCTGCCCAGGAGACTGCCGATGATGTGCAAACTGTAAAGAAGTGTTCCAAGCTGTCCAAAAAACCTGCCCAGGGGGCTGGAAGCGCTGCGGAACCTGCTGCCACGGATATACAATCTGCCCAGGGGGCTGGAAGCGCTGCGGAACCTGCTGCCACGGAACAATCTGCCCAGGGGCATGCAAATGGCGTGCAAACTGTCAAGGAGCTTTCCAAGCTTTCCAAAGGTGAGAACAAGTGCTCGGATGTAGGTTCTGAAGTCATAGTGGAGGATATTGAGAGGGTAGTGACGGATGAAAATGACTTGCATCAACATGATGTTGTCATCAAATGTGAGGTAATAAACGGTAAGACGCTCAGCTTGGTAGTCAAACCGTTTAGATTTGTGCAAGCAAGTGTGATTAGAGTGGATACCTCTCTTCGACTTACGGATGATTTGGATAACAAGGGTCTAACATTTACTACTAAATGTTTTGAGGGCTTACCGGGGTATCTTAAGAAGAAAGGGGAGGTGTGCTTTGGCTCAAAGTTCACTACTATTTTCCGTGAGTTCTTTGGATGTTAGATTAGGGTCACCTAATATTTTGTTGAGGTTTTCGTGAACTCTTTCCTAGGTGTTTGGGTTCAAATTGTTGACTTTTGAGATTGTGGTGTTTTGATTATGTGGTATCCCATTCATCGGGGTATGCACTTTGCTTGTACACATTGACTTGTTATTTTCTTTGGGTGTTAATATATATTTTTACATTTCATCCAAAAAAAAAAAATGCACAAAGTTTTAGAAATAAAGGCACTTTTTTTTTTGTTCTTTCCTCACACTTGAGTTTTGAAAAGATTTTGTAAAGAGGAATAATGAAAACAGGAATAAAATTGTTTTAAAAATATCATCCATGATCAGTTTTTTTTTTGAAATCGGGTCAAAGCGTTCAACTCACAATTTATTTATTGGAGCACCACCTGCAATCACACAAAACAAACAAACAAAGTTATGAAAAACCTGGGTTGCCTCCCAAGAAGCGCTTTTTTAACGTCACTAGCTTGACGTTTGAGAGAGAACTTTCTGTAATGCAAGTCAGTCGTGGAGCACTCATCATTAGTGCCTCCACCTTATCCTCCATGTATGCCGTCAGATGGCGTAGACCTTCGAACTCTCGTGACCACCGAAATGTGACATAATCTTCAAAGAACAGGTCGTTCGAACAAGAAATTAGCACATATCCTGCATCACTCTCATTAGTAGAATCAACAAGTATTTTAGGATCAGGTGCCTCTGGTTTCTCCAACCGCTCAAATGGAGTCATCAAGGTAAAAGTAGCGTGACTAGAGATTTGATACTCCTCTTGATGAGTTTTCTCTTCTTCATTTATGCCCTCAACATGAAAATCGCAAACTTTAGATTATGTGTCACTCTCTAATAATGCATCCCAACTTCCTAACTCACTAACCCCACATATATCATCTAGGCAAACAGATCGTTGCGTAGAGAGTCAAAGAAGGCGTCATCGGAGAATGTTTCCTCCAAATCACACGTTTCAATAACAACTTCAACAGGCATTTGGGCTTGTGTACGATGAACATCTTCATTAAGGCTATCCTTCAAGGACTCTTCAGGTGAGAGATCATCCATAGATGGTAGGGTAGGGCTGGTGTCACAAAGTATCTCCTCACCTATGGTCTCTTCATCAACTTTAGTGGGCACTTGCAGAATGAGTTCTTTAGGACTAAGTTCTATGAGGATAGACTCTAGCTCAGTAGCAATGAGAGGCTCAAAAGAAATAGGGGTGCAAAGAGTTTCAACCATCTCGCCCATAGTTACCGCTGCCTCCTCCTCAGATTTAGCACCTTCCTCGTATGTCTCCTCTTGAATTTTGTGTTCATTATCATAAATGATTTGTTCACACAATTTCTTGATACTCTCGTCATGACATGCTAGTTCAATCCTTGCGCTTTTTAATTCTTCCACAAACTCGAGCAAGGATGATTTTAATTTTTCGAGCTCGTGTTCAGGATAAGGTGAAATTCCAGAGTCAACCTCGTAGGAGTACTCGTTTGTGCCGGTGTAATGATTTTCTAGCCCTTCGTGGTAATTTTCATAATAATTAAAATTATCATGATAATTACCTTGATAGGAAAACTCATCATGACGTTCAAAGTTTTGCCCTTGGTGGAAATAGTTATCTTGAAATTGGTAATCTCCATACCCCAAAGGTGGATTTTCGCACCATTGATTGTTATCCTCATAACCTTGCTCATAATATCCTTCATTTTGATTATTTTGGAAAACTTGTTGTTCATTATATGGATAGTGATATGGTGGATGAAAATGAAAGTGTTCGCTTGAGTAATCCATGAGAAAATCTCAAGCAAACACGTGAGAACAAAACAAAAAAGAAATAGAAAGTCTCCCTAACTTGAATTCGCCCATGCTAAAATCAAAATCAAGATTTCACCGTGCCATTCCCCGGCAACGACGCCATTTTGATAACCGCTTACGCGGCGTTGTAGTAAAACGGAGTCTAACCTTTCGGTTTTTTCCCGAGTATCGTGTCTCTTGAGGAATGACGGAGGAGTTTCTTGATTTTAAGTCCAGTCACAGGTTATCGCAAATTATTGGAAGCTTTCCAAACTAAAACTTTTGATTGATTTTCTAAACTAGTTTTTGAAAAAGAAAGTAAATTAAATTATGCAAATACTAATGATGGCTCAAAATAAACTAAATGAAAAATAAAATATTAAACTCTAAATAGATTGATCAAAGAAGGGCAATGAATTGAATAATTAGAAATGGATATATTCTTGGACCTAGTAATTAGGGGAATTAAAACTAAATTTGGACTAATAATTTCTTTCTCATAGACAAGAATAGAAATTACTTTCATTAATTTATCATATTTCTAGGTTTCATTAATGCATTCAAAAATGGTTGGCTTGAATTAAATTCTAATCTCATAGACAAGACAGAAATAATTCTCCAATATTTTAATTAATAAAACTAGCCAAATTCATTAACTAATTAAACTCATTATTTAAGCAATTTGAATTTATTTCTCATAGACAAGATGTAAATCCCTTTCATTAAAATATCCTATTTATAGGCCTTATTAATGTGCTTGAATAAATTTGGCTCAAATTATTTTCTAATCTCATAGACAAGTTAGAAATAATTTTCCAAAATTTAATTAATGAAAATGGCTAACAATTATTAATTACTAATTCATCAATTTGAATAACTAGCCCAATTAATTAATTTTAACCCCTAATTTTCGGCTAACAAGTCATAAAATAAGACATGATCATAAATAATAACAACAAAAGAAAATATTAAAGTGAATACTCCCAACATATAAACTTTCTTTTCTTTCACAAATAAACATTATTTATACTAGGAATTGATGTTATCTAAGTATGAGATTAATATAACAACAAGAACTAATTTTCTTGAATTAAAATGGAAAATACGAAATTCTTAAAATTAACTCAGAGAATTTTCTACAAATATTTGGGAAATAGAAACAATATATTCAGAATCTACACGATGAGAGGATGAAAATACATATAAAGAACTTACAAATTGGAGCTAAAATGAGAAAGATATGAAATATTGAAGTTGAAGGTACAACAATGGTGGAAATCCGAACTTTGAGAAGGAAGAAGAAGGCCCTTTTGAACTGATTTCGGGCTAAGAATGGTGTGTTTGAGTTCAGCAAAAATTGGGCTATTTATAGGAGCAAAAATACCGTAGGCAGCCAACCAGGCGGCTGCCTGCCACTTTGCTCTGGCCGCCTTCCGTCCATCACCGGCAGTCGAATGTGCCGCACGTCACTTCGCCGCAAGCGGCCACAGAAAGCGGCTGCCTGCCGTTTCTGTCTGGCCGCCTGCTATCTTTTCACACCGACGGTCGTTGGCTTTGTCGTCTTTTCCCGTAGGTGGCCGCGAAGGCCTCCATTTTTGGCCGCCTATTTTCCCGCTCCGAGTCAAAGCCTAATTTTTTATTTTTCCATAGGAGGCCGCGAAGGCCTCCATTCTTGGCCGCCTATTTGGCCGCCTATGAGGTTGTTTGACCGTCTTGTTCTGTATTTTGTGCTCTTCAACTTTCCCTTCTGGACCACTTTGAAATTCTGCTTCCTTCTTTCGGTATGATATCATTTTTCACTCAAATTAACTCATTGTGTGCTTAATTGACCCGGAATTTTGTCAAAAGATATCATGGACGTGGTTTTTACCTGATTTCACAAAACTTGAACCAAAATATATAAAACATGCCTTGTTTTTCTATTTTTCAATCCAAAATCGCTTAACTTTGATAAGAAAAATAAGTACAATAATGGACTTATCATGGGTTTAGTCTTCTTTGTGGCTGTCGCACCGACTTGGCTTCATCCTCCATTAAGATTCGATGCATGCATGTAGATGGACTAATGTCTTTGATGTCGGCTATAGTCCATCCAATTGCTAGTTTATGGTCCTTGAGCACCGCTATCAATTTGCCTTCTTGCTCTACGGTCAATTTGTTTGACATAATGACCGGTAGTGTCTCTTTATCTCCCAAGAACACATATTTCAAGTGTTTTGGAAGTGATTTCATTTCAACTTCGGGTGCCTGCAGAAATGAAGGCAAAGGCTTTTCTTCGGGGATGGTTAGTGGAAATGCTCTCGACCCCGGTGGCATAAGTGGAAGTTGGAAGTGAGTATCTAATTCCACTATCATAGCTTGTGTGTTGGGAGTCAAGGCAAGTTCTAAGGAGTTTTCCCCGAAGTCATTCTCAAGTATACTCAACAATTCGTCTTCTCCATTAATTTCAAAATTATTTTGTACAAGAGGGTCAACAATATCAATGGCAAACAAAGAATGATTTTCATTTGGGTATTTCATGGAGTCATAAATGTTAAATTCAACTTTATCTCCATCAAATTCCATTGTTAAAGAGCCGCTAAATACATCAATCTTTGCTCTAGCGGTTTTTAAAAATGGCCTTCCTAAGAGGATAGGAACCACATTCTTATCACTCTCCATTTCCAAAACATAAAATTCAGCGGGGGAAATCAAATTGTCAACCATAACTAGTACGTCTTCGACAATACCTTTAGGGTAAGCATTTGATCTATCCGCAAGTTGAATGACTACTCCGGTTTCATTTAGAGGGCCAAGCTCAAGTGATTTGTATAAAGAGTAAGGAATGACATTAATTGATGCTCCTAAATCGAGCATGGCTTTTGAAAACGTAGTTCCTCCCAAAACACGTTCACTAACCTTCGGAGTTTCTTTTGAAAAACTGCCGAAACACGTTCACTAACTTGGACTTTTTGTTTTCCATTGAGTCTATGTTTCCTTTTTATTGTACATAGTTCTTTGAAAAGTTTTGCAAATCTAGGCACACCTTTTATCAAGTTAAGGAGAGGAATATTTACCTCACATTTGAAGAATGTTTCATAGATGTCCTTGTCTTTCTCCAGCTTTCGCGTTTCCCTAAGAGCCTCGGGGAAGGGTGCTTCAACTTCGGGGATGACCGGTGGTGGGGTTGAGATTTGAACTTCCACCTCCGGTTGAGTTATTTCCACTAGCTCCTCTTCTTCCTCCTCTTCGCCAATGTGGCTCTTTGCCTTCTCCTTGGCAATAACCAACTCCTTGCCACTCCTTAATGTGACTGCATGGGCTTGTTGCCTAGGATTCGGCTCCGTTTGAGATGGTAGCTTTGCTGAATCCTTAGCTTCAAGCCTACTCACGGCATTTGAGATTTGGATGATTTGGCTCTCCAAGTTGTGGATGCTGTATTTTTTGTTTCTTGAAATTGGA